GGCGCGCACCGGGCCTCCTGCTTCTCGCTCCGAGGCTGCGGGACGGACGCTCCCGAGAACTCTCTCGCCCGCGGCCGGCCGCGCTCGGACGGCGCTCGCCGGCGGCCCGGCGGTGCCAGCATGTCGGCCGCTGTGGCGTGCCTGGACTACTTCGCCGCCGAGTGCTTGGTGTCCATGTCCGCGGGCGCCGTGGTTCACCGCCGCCCGCCGGACCCCGAGGGCGCGGGCGGAGCCGCAGGCTCGGAGGTGGGTGCGGCGCCGCCGGAGTCCGCTCTGCCGGGTCCGGGGCCACTGGGGCCCGCGTCGGTCCCTCCGCTCCCCCAGGTCCCCGCCCCCAGCCCCGGCGCGGGCGGCGCCGCGCCCCACCTGCTGGCTGCAAGCGTCTTGGCTGACTTGCGCGGCGGCTCTGGGGAGGGCTTCGGGGAGAACTCGGGGGAAGCTCCGCGCGCCTCGTCCGGATCCTCCGACCCGACCCCGTGCTCTGGTCTGTCCCTGTGCTCAGAGCCGGTCCCGGCCTCCAGCGCGGCCGAGGTCTCCGTGTCCACGCACTCCTCTAGCGCGCTTGAGGTCCCACGTGCGCCTATCGTCCCCGGAGCGCCTGCCGTCGCTGGTGCGGGCTCTGGCGGGGCCCCTGGCGCGGGGCCCGCCTCCGCCACGGGTCCAGTGCCCCGTCGGAGGCCCATCACACCTGCCGCCAAGCGCCACCGCTGCCCCTACCCTGGCTGCAACAAAGCCTATTACAAGTCGTCGCATCTGAAGTCCCACCAGCGCACCCACACGGGTGAGCGCCCTTTCTCCTGCGACTGGCTCGACTGCGACAAGAAGTTTACGCGCTCCGACGAGCTGGCCCGCCACTACAGGACGCACACGGGCGAGAAGCGCTTCTCCTGCCCCCTCTGCCCCAAGCAGTTCTCCCGGAGCGACCACCTGACCAAGCACGCTCGCCGCCACCCAGCCTATCATCCCGACATGATCGAGTACCGGGGGCGCCGTCGCACTCCCCGCGTCGACTCGCAACCTGCCAGCCTGGTGGACAGCTCCGGCTCCGTCCCCGGCCAGGCGCCCAGCCTCACCACCTGCCTGTCTGAGAGTCATTGCTGTTAGTCGTCCCCTCAAGGACGATCCCCCTCGCGGTTGTCCCTGCCTTCTCTCTGCCCATCCCTCTTTCCCAGAGTCATTAGTCCAAGGCACAGACTGGTTTCTCCGCTCTGAGGGTGGGTCCAGGCAGACACGTTGGACCCTGGGGGAGGGACTGGGGGCCCGAAAATAGCAAGAATTCTTAGGACACGTATATCATCCTAAAAGGGGGAGCTGCCTCGAGACAGCCCCCAGGAACTGGTGAGAAGGGATGAACCCTGGTACTCTCCAGAGTCCTGAAGATTCTCCCTTCCCTGGAACCAGAAATGTGAAACTGGAATTCTCAGGTGCCTGGGGAGCTCCCAGTCTCAAAAGACTCTGGTGTCTTACCCACCCATCAGGGCGGACCTTGGAGAGGGTGTCAGGGGTGGCAGTCTTGGAAATGTCCAGGACTAGGATGGTGAGAGGCCTTTGGAAACAGAAATGATTTCTATTTCTGTAAACAGCAATGTTTACTAATTTATTTTTAGTATCTTTTACAGAGGGATCCCAGGTTGATGGGAGGTTGATGTCCTCCACTCCCCAATTCCCCCAGCTACCTCTGCTAGGAGAGGCCATGTAAGAGTCCATGTGGATGTATGGCTGGGAGATGCTTCTTGGTGGCTGGGGAGTGGTGTGAGTCTGTTTGGAGGTCCTGTTGCATGGTTTGGAATCCTGCACTTGCGTCGTAGCCTTTCTTCTCATTTGGATTCCTACTTGGGGAGAGTAACCTCCTGGCTCACTCTCACAATAAGATTGGTTTAAAAATTTGGAAGCAATCATAAAAGCACCAGGAATAAAAGGGTGGTTAAGGCTAGTTTCCTCTTCACCCAGAGGGCAAACTCAAGTGACTTTGGGTGAGATAGGTCCAAAACAAGACCTTTCAGAACCATAGTTAACATTCAGGGAAATAGGGGCATGTGGTCCCAGCTGCCCATTCCAAGTAGTCTCAGGTGTGGTAGACTCTATTCATTTCTTGGTGGCTAACTAGGGGTTTATTTTCCTTGGGGTCTGTGCATTTTTGTTTTTGCAACAGGTGAGTTGGTAGTTGTAGGAGAGGAAGGTGAGAGTGGCTTCTTCCAAAGAGCTGGCTGCCATAGATTTGGGGAAGGAATAGCAAGATGAAAGTTATTATCCAATAGGAGAACCCTTCTCCCGACCTTGGAGTCCCTCAAGGTTAGACCTTCAGGACCCCATTCCCCCCATGCAGTAATCAAGCATCAACAGTAATTCTTTTTTTCTGTATGTGTCTCTGCTGCTATGGATGAAATTGTCACCCACTGTGCTTGTGTGTGTGAATGTGTATACATGTGACCATTTCATTAGAGATGGTGCTGAAAGACATTTCCTGCTTTGGTAAGGACCCCTTTGGCCCCTTCCTGAATATCTTGTAATAGTCTGTCAATCACATTTGTGGAGGATGCCATAATCTCATACAACCATAAAAGGCATTTAGTTAAACAAACTGCTTTCCCCTATTTTACGGATGAAAACACCAAAGCCTAGATAAGCTCAAAGTCACATGCTGAGTTGCTGGCAAAAGCCGTGACTAGAACTTAAGTATCTGGCCTTCTAAGTGACTCTCTCTCTCACACTTGGTTACCCCACCTCTTCTCTCTCTGGGCCCTTAGTCAAAGGACACCACTCTCCCTTCCTGCCACCATGATCGCCTCCCTTCCTATTCCCTATGTCTGGTCCTGGCTGAGCCCTTTGCCTGTTGTGTTTAACCTGGTAGCCCTTTTCTTAGCAGGTTGAGTCCATTCTCTCCTTCCAAGCTATGTGGTCTTAAAGTGGGAATGACTCTTTGGCATCTTGAGAGAGACTTTATCTTTTTACCTGATAGATTAATTTTCAATGCTAATCCTATTCTTTTTCTGGTCCTGGGCATTCCAGCTTTCTCTAGAGAGTGAGTGATATGAACCTGGCATTGGGACTCTACTAAATACTCCTATACTAGGTAAGAGAAAGATTCTTAGGGAGGACCTAAAGGATATGGCCTGTGACCCTGAAGAGGTTCAGTGTTTCCTGATGTGGACTAAGCAGGACAGGTGGGGCTCTCCTTGAGTTATATATGTGAAGAGGAGGCCCCCAATTGTGGAAGTGAGTTTTGGTGGTGGGAATAGTCCTCCCTTTGCTCCATTTGTTTTCTCAGCTGGGACTGGACAGGAAGGACACTACGGGCCCCATTGAGGACTATGATTTCCCCTTTGTCCCCTTCAGTAGAAGGTCTGCCATTGGGTGGGTAGACCAATGAAGCTAACAGGAGAGCCTCCCACTGACCATTCTGGAACTGGGCTGAGAAAGCTGGGCTTTTCCAACCATCCTTTGATAAATAACTTTTGATTCTCAAGCTGCCAAGTAGTATCCTTATTTGGGTTCTTCTACCTTGGGGACTTTTGTCTAGGGATGGCCTGTGACAGTCTAAATGCAACATGTCTTTCAATGACTCCTCCTAGGTCTTAGGGTGGTGGGGCGGGAGACATCCAAAACACCAGAGTAGCTGGATAATGAAAGCAAGATTTGTAGGCTGGTCTTTCAGTCTGGGTATTGTTACCCTTTTCACTCCAGTGGCCAGAGAACTCTTAAGGAGAAGTTAGTAGTAAAATGCCTTGGAAGGGGCTTCCTAGTGTTTCTTTTGCTTCTTTTTGTTAATCAGTTGGAGCTCAGTGAGTGAATGTGCCTGGGGATTGGTTGGGGTCAGCTTGAACCTCTGGGCCTTTGTCCCACCCCTGCCATCCTGAGTTCTGATGTAGAAATGACCTAGTAACAGAATCTATTAATAGAATTCTTCCTGAAATCTGATTTGGAAGCTGGGAATGAATTCCAGACCTCGGGAATGAGGGAATTGGATCCTCTACCCCTGTCGGGGGGTGGGAGGGTGGTGGTGGTGGTGGTGGTGGTGGTGGTGAAGGGTACAGGCCTTGCCCCCACCCGTGGGGACAAGAATCTCTCATTTGTCCCTATTTCCCTGTTCTTCTCCAAGTAGGGAGCCATATTAGAATATTATTCTTGGAACTTGTCTCTACCTCTTACTCACTTCTCCCCAAAGGAAGATGGTGTTCTCTGATGGAGACATAAAGGCTCATTATACACACGCATACACAGATACACACATTCATGCTCTAAGCTCTCTTCTCTCTTTTGAACCCCTTTGCCTGCAATGTGTATGCACTCCACTCAGATCCTGTTTTCATATGGTAAGCACAACTGTTGAGACCCAGACCTGCCTCCCAGTGGCAGGTCTGAAGAACACCTCTCTCTGTCTCCACTTTTGGGGCGGCCATGCCAGTTGCAGCTCTCCAGGTAAGTGGTTTTCTTTTTGTCTATTCTCCTTTGGGTGGGTAATCCTAATACCAGGAATTGGGAGGGGTTGGAGAGGCAGTGGAAGGATAGTATTAGAAAGCCAAATTTTGGCCATAGGTACAGCTTCATCAACAAAATACTGATATTTTGATCCTCCTTAGTCTGATTCCTGTATCTATTACTCAGTTGGTTGAAAACTTAGAGGGGAAAGGATATGATTAATTTTCTCCCTGAAGCCCCAACACATGCAAATATGCATTGGCTGTTAAATCTTGAGAAATAGGCAGTCTGACTGGAATTAGGAAACCAAAATAAGATGTGTGGAGAGGGGGTGTTTTGTGTGCCAAGGCACAGGGCTTTAGTGCTTTAGCGATCTTGGGCCTTTCAGTTCTTTGGCCTTTTCAAGTCCTAGCAACTTATGGTAGCTAGTGTCCACAAGCAAGTCACTATTTTTTTAGAGGTACTGGACATAGGGCTTTGCAGAAGTAGGCTGCATAAGCCACTGTGGCTGATCTTGATTCACACAGATATAGTTCAGACAAGCTTGCCGCAGAAGGGAAAGGCACTATGAAATGGAGCAATTTGTGCTGCCTTCATTCTCAGCCAGAGTTGTGGATGAGGACTTTAAGGTGCAATGGTATAAGTTCCACATGTACTTCAAAACACAAATTTGGGAGATTCTAGCCCTTAAATTGTGCTAGGGATTAGCAGGTGATGTTGGATCAGTTGCACCCTGTTTGGTTCTCTTTTATCTTGACTTGAATTGCATCCATTTGTAGGGCCAGAGACAGACCTATGGGAGGGGCTGAGTTCTTTAATTCATATGGAGTATCCAGAGTCACCTTCTATTTGTGTCCCAAGTTGTTGCCAGATGTGTTGACTATATAAACCTGACAGTGCAATTTCAGGGACTCAAGATGTCTGTTCAATCACAGAGGAATGGTGGATTTTAATTGTAAATAAAAAAGAGAAATGCAAATGTTTGTTTATATAGGGGTTTGAGGTAGAGAGAAGCAATGCTATTATAATCCCAAAAGCAAGGAAGAGTATTAAAAAGGGTTGTGCCTGGATTCTTCTCTCCCTAGGAATTGGGTCTATTCAGGAAGTCAAGTAGGAGCCATATTTGTTTCAAATATAAATTTAGATCTTGAAGTCAAAATGGAGGCGATGGGAGGGTGAAAAAGCAATAGAGAAAGACAGGCCGAGTGAGTTGGAGGAAGAGAACGATTTCTTTAGAAGAAAGATTTTATTCTTAAACGACAGATTTGACAATACAAATGAAAAATAAGACCAAGAACCAACCAATCTTGAAGATGGGATTATAAAAAGAGAGTGGTAGTTTAGTTAATACTAGATTAGAGGAGGTGATTGAAACCCAAAGAGGTATAACAGAAGAATGGAAGCAAGCTCTCAGAGAGAAAACAGAAATGCCCACCTCCACCAGTGATTTCAGGTCCAAGGTAATATTGAGAGGTACCTACCTGAATCTGCAAAGAAAGCAATGGGAAATCATCCCTTCAGCACTGAGATAAGTGTACTAGAAGGTTATAGAAAATGTAGACAATACTTCCAACATTTTTAGCTTAGTCTCAGTGATGTTACCATTGTAAATGGGAATATAAATATGGCTTGGCAAATGTACAGACTTAGATCTCTAAGGGAAAGCATAAGGTAGATGAGACACATGAAATATGTCAAAGTAATTAATCAAATTAATAGAAATTAGGGGGAAAAATCACGATCATCCCAGTTGTTTCCAAAATAAGCATTTGTTAAAACTCAACATCAATTTGTGATGTAATTTAAAAACACCTTAGCAAAACTAGTAACAAAAGATAATTTCTTAAATTGAAAAAGAGCATCTACCAAAAGCTTATAGTAAACATCAAATTTAATGTTGAAAGATTACAGGCATTTCTGTTGGCCATATGCTGAGATAGAAAGAAAGTCTCAACAAACCCCAGGCAGGTAATCACATAAAAATACGACAAAAATATAACCAAAGCCCCATACATTGAGAAATGTAAAAGCAAACCTCTACCTACCTCAGATAAAAGAGGCAATTACAAAAATTTAGAACTGAATGAGAGCCTAAATCACTACATAGCAAAACTTCTGTGACGCAAGCAAATGGTGCTGGGGAAGGAAGCGCAGTTTATAGCCTTAAATTT